CAAGCTGTTTTCAGCCTTCTCTTTTTTGTCTAGAACAACTTCATGGCACTGGCTACGTTTTACAATGAGTTTGCATGGACCCTTACACACTGAAGACTCAATCTCTGCCGAGACAGCTCAACATTATAGCAATACACCCCAAACACAGATACTCTATGCACTTTCTCAGGAGATATAGTAATAATTTAACCACTTGCTTTTAGCCACAATTTTATAGAAACATAAAAGTTAAACATTAAGGCTGCCATCTTATCTGCACCACCTTAATTCATTTAGAGTATAAGTAATTCAGTGTTAAAGACACAGTTACTTTACCAGATTTACTGCCGTGTCTTTCCAAGGTATCTAATAATGCTAGTCTGTTCAACTAAACAGAACAGAATTATCACATTAAAATTTCTGTACTGTCTTATGATTATGTACATATTCACAGTGTTTCACCAGCAATGTACTGTAGTTTATCTATTGTCTGTCTGAAAATAGCATGTGACTTCATACTTGTACAAGCATTTTGTAATTATTTTAGCAATATCCATCTCACTTGAGAAGTTAAATATGAAATGACAGCCTGACCCTGCATTTCTTGTGTGTGCCTACATGTATGCACAGGCACACATATTTCTGTTTAACATCCTCATACAGCAAGTGTTAATAGTTTGAGTATTGATTATCCAGCTTAGTAATCGCAGAACTGGAGCTGTTACACACACGGAGAACAATATTAAATGTGCATGCTCTGGCTTAGCACAATCAATAAGCTGACATTCAGTTCAAAGAGACTTTTATCCTAGTGATTAGACTATTGAAAAGGTTAGGTGTGGTCGTGAGAAAGGCACAGCTGTGTGGTCCCAACCTGCAGCATCTGACAGGCTGTTGAGTTGATTACAGTTGGCTCCCACAGAGAGACAGATTTGAGTACTTTCTACATGGGGTACATGCACTGAAGATACTTTAAAAAAAAAAAAAAACAGGAAAAGTTCTCCTTACTTTGAAGCATTCAATTTCCACCTAACCTTACAGCCCCTCTTTATAAATATAAAAACTTCAAAATAACTTGGGTCATTTTGCTGCAACCAGGACTAAAAAAAGAATCTGTTACAGAACTTTTTCTAAAAGACTGCTGACTCTATGAAGATCAGAATAAAACTCGGCAGCCTGGATCGTAGCTGGCAGCTTAATGTCTAAATCTCTAGCTAAGGATCTGGCTCAGCTCTTTGGGGTGAAATCAAGCCCTTCTGACATTAAGAGCAGAACTCCCACTGTTTCTGAAGCATAAGCAGAAGAGAATTTCACCTTCCAATTTTCCAGCTGAGAATTTGGTTCAGTTGTACCTTTTTATTATTTCAACAATTTGGGAATGTCTGAGCCAGTGGCTTCAGTTTTCCAAATGCTGAACACTTAGGAGACATTACCACCTATCCAGATCCCAGATGTCTCAGGTCTTACCACCAAACATGAAACTTTCTTCAGCGTCTCCTTCCTGTGCCTCAAGTAATGGGCTGAGAGCATATGTGCATCTGATATGTCAGACCCTACCAGTATGCATACCCTAGAGGCATGACAGAGACAGTGTAGCTATGTGCAATTAGCAAATGCCTTCCACTGGGTCTCCTTTAGCAAGGGGTCCTTCAAGGTGGCTCACCCTCAGCCCATAGTCTGTTCGGCTCTAGGTTGCTTTATAGTAATAGTAGGTCTTAAGGAACTTCAAAGCATATTAATGAAATCAGCCTAAGTAATGCAGGTTGAAAGAGAATTAAAGAAAATGGTATTAGGTGAGACTGTGTCAGAAGTCAGAGGTGTCAAAGGACCTAAGTCTTTGAAAAGTAACTAAAGCTGAGCAACTGATTATGCCTTTTAGGAACCTGGAATTTACGACTTAGAAGTCCTGACTTCTTTCTCTCAAGTTTGTAAGTATTAGATTTACAAGTACTGATCTATAAGTCCTGTTTTATTGAATAACTGTATTGCTTCACTTTTTTGTTTAAACTTACTTACTGTAATATGTTTAGGATTTTCACTGAAACACCTGTGAATTTCTTACTTTGAAATCCCTGAATTCTCTGGGGCAAGTGCCTTGAATTTCCTTGGTCCCTGGATTAAACCCTAGCCTGAACAAGCTGCAGTGGCTTCGCTCCACTACACAGTCCAGATCCTCCTAGCCGCAAATCACGCTGACCGGCTATATCTGGCGCAGGGAGTCACAGAGAAAAAGAGAAGGCACAGCGTTGCTTACACACAAGGTACAACTCTAGCTGCAAAGAATCGAAAAGAGACACCCAGCTGAAGGACACTTCTGCTTATTGTGTGAGATCTGACCCACTCAAGTCTCCACTGCAGAAGCTTACATGGTACGCACCAAGTTGATGTGCAGAAGGACGTAGTAAGAAAAGGATAGTTATAAAAAGTGATAAGTCCTACAATAGCTCAGCTGTGACAGAAATTGTACCATTAGCTAACAACAGAATGTTTGAAAGAGTCATAAATTTTATTCCTTTGTACTTATTATTCCAATCGAGATAGCTTTATCATGGAGGCTTAAACAAAATCAAGTCATGGCAACGTGTGACGCTGTTGATAATCCATGCCATGTGTAATCATCCTGTGCTGCAAGAGTACAGATTAGTGTTCAGTAAGCTTTGAGCAATTGATTTAAAGTTAGCTCACGCATATTAGGTGTCTGCCTGCCTGTTCATAAATCTTTGATGTGGATGTCTGGCTGGTGTGTTGTGCCTGACATGTGAACCGTGAAAAATACAGTTCACAGATTTTTATTACAGTGTTACCTTTAATATCTCCAGCAGCAGCAGGTATTTTACACTTCACAGATACAGTAGCTAATGCCACTCTCCAATCACAAAATATAACCTCTGTTCAACCCAAATGCTTTTCCAACTTTTATGGTACTGTGCCAGTTGTATTCTCCACATTTAAAGTCTTCCTGATTAAGATTTCCTTCCCAGAGGTAGAACAGTCCTAAACTCAGGTCAGCATTCAGTGAAGTGTGACCCCTCTTCACCTGAAGATTTTTCTCCCAAAAATCCCTGAGCACATGAGGTGTAACAGGAAAGGGAAGACCATCAGTCAGTCAGTCAGTATGCCTGAGCATTAAGAGGGCACAGTGGGGAAAAAAAAAAAAAAACGCCTTTTCTGACGCTCCATTAGTCTTGCTAATCTGAGTAACGTTGCTTCTAGCAGGAGCATCTCAGTGTAAGCAGAGCAAAACGGGGCTTTGTCTTAGGTGGAAGTACTGGCTGCCACTTGAAAATTAGGTAATATTAGCCAATATTAGCTAACGTAATAAAGGCAGGTGGCTTCAGGCAAGCCCAAGTATTACTACGCTATGGATACAGTAGTGTGGAACAGAATAATAAAGGTATGTTGGCCCACTGGCTTTAAAGAGATGATACTCTTCGTTCACTCAGACAGGGATTTCAGGCCTAGCAGAATTCTGACTTACACTGTGAGTTATTACACAGAGGAAAAAGCACAGTCAGTCTTAGATGGAAAATAAGTTACATTCTGGAGATCCATTGTTTATATTTTGACACCGGTTTTGAAATCATTAGAAATAAGTATAGGCTTGATAGCCCCTGCTTGCTCTTACTCTGAAATCAGCACAGGCTGCGAAAGGAGTTCAGAAGTGAAAGTAGCACTCTGGGGATACTAAGCCCTTGTCTCCAAACAAAAGTTGTATTGCTGTAACTTAACTCAATCAGGTTATAACAGAGCAAGTACTTTTTTTAAGAGATTCCGTAATACATACATAACTGGCTCCTGTAGTTGTAAATTTTCACACTCATGCTTGCAAGCATAAGCCAAAGTGGAATTCCACACAGACTTAACTAGATCAGTAGAAAAAAACTACTTTTCATTCCATTGATACAACTCAGACACAAAGAGACCTAGTACGGAATAGACATGACTTAAAAAGCCCACTGCTTCTTGTAACCACGGAAAAATCCGAGGCTCTGCTTTTTTAGAAACTTTGTGGTATCTGCTCTCTTCCAGCTTTTCAAGAGCCCTATTTTATTGTTAAGGACAATGATGTATCTTAAAAGATAAGCTGCTCTTCTGGGGAGTCACAACACCTGCCGTAACACAAAGTACCAGATAAGAACCAGACAAGTTGTAAGATCTCCCTTCTCCTCCTCCTAGATCCCCTGTTCCCCAAAAGGGGCAAAGATTTCCTCAAACAATTTTTTGTTCCATTTTTCAGTCAAGAGTGTAACAGCAGAACATGTCAGCCAGCTCTAATCATATATGCACAAGCATGACACCAAAAGTCATGACATCAATATATGACAAGTTTGTCTTTCTCAAGCTTTTATGGAACACAAAGAGGCCTTAGGCCACATGCTGGCTGGTATTTATCATAACATTGAAATCAGCACCGTAGAACTATTTTTTCAGGAAGTCTAGAGTCTGTGGGACAAAAAGAAATTACACCGCCTGAATTAGAGCAGTCTAGAGCACCCATTCTAGGGTCTGCACACTGACTTCTCTGATCAAGTTCCAAGACTAAAGATTTTAGAGTGGAACTGAACATGAGGTAATCTCTATATGGCTGCCTGGGCCAGCAAAGAACATTTGACTGATCACAACACTACTCCAAAAATCAAGAACAAATTGCAGAGAGACAAATGAATCCAAGGATTTTAGGTCTAAATATGGTAGACATGTGACAGTGGTGTTTGCCCTGGTGCCATCACAACAAGCAACACATCCAAGACTCAGTGGCACAGTTGAAACGCAGGTTAGATGTTGTCTTGTACTCACCTACTAGCGCCCTGTAGTTTAGAAAACTTTCCTCGCAACCACTGGATGCATCAATACAGCATGATACAGCACTGCACATCCAGTCCTCCCCATTCAGAGCTGATATGGGATTTTTTGAGGGACCTATGTTGTAGACCTACCTACTACGGTAGCTCTGAAGTAGCACAATGTGTATAGTACTTTGTTAGACAGCACACAACCACTCCTTTAATTTATGTTCTTACCTCTGCAGCTAAGTAGTTTCCAGTTGCCAAGTGCTTAAATCTAAACAAGCTATTCCATTGCCCTGCCCCTCCCCGGCAAGGGTCATGATGGACAACCTAAAAGAAGAAATACAGATTTGTAATCATGCTGGAAGTCCTCAAGATCATATTTAGATCACTGACAATTCTTACAGCTCATCCAAACTACTGTTCTCTTAATTATACTAAAGGAGCAATCATGCCATACCTACTGCTGCCAATATTCCAAATAAAAATATGTAAATTGTATAATTACAAACAGTCTACCGCAGAGAAGAATTCTGTGCTCATGCTAAGCCCGTCATCGATAACTACTTACATTTACTTTTCACTGGGTGCCAGCAAGTACGACTCCTATTACTTTCCATTAATCTACTTATTGCAAACATGATGAGCCAAATTTTACTTTAAATTGCTCTGGCAATGTCTGAAGCTCAACGAAGTAAATGTAGCTGCTCTACACCTACAGAGGCACTACTTAAAAGTAGAACTTAAACCTTGTTACTTTGTTTCACCACTATACCAACTCAATTTTTGACCACACTGGGGCCTTTGATAAATTCCCTTTCAAGTGATTAAATGTCCCCATATCATCTGAAATATCCAAGGATTTTTTTTTTTCTTGCTCTTAGCTGAGCTGCAAGTTATTTGCTACCTTCAAACCTAGCGGCACCTCCCTCTTCTATGGGGTAATGTCAAATAGCCAGAAGTGCAATAAACTCCGCATATTCAATATAGTCCTTACTCAGGCAAAAATCAGCCATTTGCCTGAGTCAGGAGCTCTTTTTTTTTTAAATGCATCATTTGCCCAATGCCTAAGAACTTTTGGGTGCATGAATTACACTACTATAATGGCAAGGTTTTCAGACATACCAGTTTCCAATGTTACTCAACTAACCAACGCAGATCTGCTAGATATCTTGTGAAAGTCACTCCCATTCAGCAAAGACACCCTTATTCAACCTAACTTTAAACACACTTATGCGACCTCCTGCAGAAGAAGGGACTCAATCACATTTGTGAGATTTCTTGTCAGTCGCCATCAGTTTCAATTTTCTATATCACAGAAGAAGCCAAATATAAACATTCAGAACTCAGGATACATGAATATCATTCACTTGCTTTGATAAAATTGCACCATTTACGTCAAGTCTGAATTTGACCCTTTGCCATTTCAGCACAGCTATATATAGTAGGAAAACATCCGCTCTCCACACATTTTCACAACAGTAAAGCATCTTTTCAGCGTTCATCCTACACAAACTGCTTCATAAAATAATAATAGTTACGGGGAGGTATATGATGATATCAAGTGGCTAGGAATGATTCATGTTGTGGTAAAGTATTTTTACTGAACCCTGGCCTTCAAGTCCTAAAATATTCATAAAAAGGAAAAAAAAAAAAAAACCTCTATTTCCCATAGTGCTTTAGAACTTGTTGCAGAAGTGGCTGATTGACGCAATGTAGTACGAAGGAAAATATGTTGTTTCTTCTCATATTCATCACAGGTCAGAAACTTCTCTTGCTCTGCATGAAACAATCTGACAACATCTCCCTAAAGAAATATAAAAAGAAGCACGATTAAATGACAGGCAAAGCAGCAGGATCAGTGCAGGAACTGAACAACCTGCTCTGCCTTGCCCTTCAGCTCCATCTTTGCATCCCTACCACAGTCTCACCTTTTTTCCACCCCAGAAGAAACAAAGTACTTCAAAAACATCTGCAACTAAAACCAATGCCTCCTCCCTGTTTCTTCCACTGGCATCATTTTTGCTTCCTTCTGCCTCTCATCAAAGCTTTAAACAATATACCCACATTAGTCTAGACAGTTGCACCATTTTCCCTTTCAAATACTTCCTTCAAAGCCTGCTGCTACTTGCTGCCTACCAAAAAATAGCTAGTTGATAACAACTAATTAAGGTACAGGTGAGGACAACTGATATTTACTTATTTAAAATGAAAATGTAAACAATCTCAGGGAGTGATCTGGAGGCATGAAGCTGTGCACACCATTAGCTTTGATAGCTACATTGTCTTATTACAGCTACTGTCATCTTTCATGCCTTATTCCCTCCTGTAGCTTGTTATACGTGCTTTTAGTATCTTGCCTTAAACTGAAATGTCACAGCTATTCTGTATAGAGCCCTCATCATTCTGAACTTGAACTTCATCTTTGTTCACGGGTCCTCAGCTGTCCCTGGGAGGGGAAATGGGCTGGAAGCTAACACCTTCCAGACGTTTCCACTTAGTAAGACAATAACACAAAGGAAAAACTGTCTCTGGCTGGTGAAGGACAGTAGTGAGGGAATCCTTGACCACTCCACACAGTCTTAGTTTCCTCTTTTATACACCATGTAATATTTTATCTACAGCACAATTAAGCCAAGTATGGCATGATTTTTCAAACTTGAAAAATAATTAGTTTAGAAAAAAAATACTTACTCCTTTCAGTACATCATCTCGGTAACTACTGAATTTCATGAACAAAGTTATTTTCCAGCTTGTGTTACAATTAACAGCATTCACCTTTGGGAAGAAACACAGTTACAGTCCTAAGGGTGTTCTTTTCTTTTTGAGACATTCTGTTCTTCTGAATGAATACCTTATGCTTAGTGTGGCAGCGGCCATGGCCTACAGGTTAGTACAGTTCCTGGCATGGGTCCTGAAGCTCTCAAGGGTTAATTAATAGCAATGGTGATGTTGGAGAAGATTTAGTGGGCAAAACACTATTCTGTCTTCTGCCTACCAAAGAAGGTCTGAAGAGCTGCTGAAAGAGGAGTTATTCTTACATCAGTGAGAGCTTCAGATCGTCAAGTAAACCTCAGGAAACTCTCAGTGCCAAGCAGAATTGTGCCAAGAATACGTACGTTGCACCTTGCTTTTTTGTGGTCAAGCTGGAATCAATGTGTAGTACTGGCATCTAGCCTATGATGGGGTTCTGGGTACCAGCAAAAAACTTCACCAGTAAAGATACTTCAGAATTTTAATTACCCCTCCGACCCCACCTCTTTGCAGCCGGGGTTATCTAGAAGCTCAATGTTGCTGGCATGCAGAGGCTGCCCTGCATTTACTGGCATCAGTACAACTTTGTCTCCCACGACAACCTGGAGGTCAGAAATAAAATGCAATTTAGACCTATATAATTATGCAATAAAATGAAGCAGTGTTACATATTTAGAAAACGATTCAAACGCATGCTCTAGGAATGGCACTTGGTGAATTTATGTGCAGACAATTCACACACCAATGGAACGTTCCTTCAGGCAGTTCTGTTTGCACATGCCTCTGCCATTTGCCTGGGTTCAAGACTTTACACTAATGAATCCTGGCATTCTCAGCAGGAACTCAGGATCAGTGAAATACAGAAATGAACCTATGAATTCCAGATCCTGAATTCCAGGAGCAGATCTATCATCTAGAACTTGCATTAACTACTCTTTATCCCATACACTGCCAGTCAAAGAGCAGGGAAAGCTTAGAAAATAATCTGTAGTCAGACAGCAAGGTTCTTTTCCCTTTCTTGCTGTCGGCCAAATTTTTCACATCAATATGACTTTCATTTCACAATAGCCTTAAAAATTTGCCTGAGATAAGACTTTTTCAGCTCAGTGAGTCCCCACTCTGTGGGCCAAGTTCTGGCAAGTGTCAGGAGAGACTCAGGAGCACTCTGATTTAGACCACCTGACCGTGATCTGGAAAGGAACATAAACCACTGGAAAGCGAGAAAGACAAACACACTCCACCCTCTTTCCTGTTACTCCTTAAATGCTTGGTGCTCAGCACAGGCACCAGGTACATTAGCTAAGAGATCTTCTCTCTACAAGAGGAATTCATAGCTGACTCCCTGCAAGCAGATTCCTACGCCCTGGCAACTTTTTAGCTATATACAGACAGGGAAAAACAACATATGACATTCTTCCTGATCTAGGAAGTGCTTGACAAGCACATATGGAGAATTCAATTTATACCTGAGAGTGGAGCTCGATCTACATGGATTGGTTGGCACTGGTGTCCTGATTTGCTTATGTTGGTCACAGTAATTCTAAGCACGTACACACATGACGACAGAAAGTAGCTAATCATGATTTTTGCTATATTATATGCGGTAAGAGCCATGCTTTTTTGAGGGGACATAAAAAAACAAAAATGGTTTCTGCATTGATCAGCATGTTTCCTATGGAAAAGGAGAGCCAAATTCAGCCTCTTCTGTAACTTCAATGCAGATAAATTTTGCCCATTTATTGCAGGGGTGAAAAGGAAGGTAAGTTCTTTACCAATACAATTAAAATAAACAACAGTAAGAAAGATAGTGACATCATGCTCAAACTACACATAGAAATCCTATTGGATACAAATAATGAGAAAAAGTTCACTAATGGAACCCAAAATAACGATGACAATGTGCCTTTATGGTGCATTACTTATGCAATACATTCCTGCATGCCATGCTTCACACAGACATTACTTACAGCCCGTTTTAAGAAGTTAAGACCAGACAATTCACTAATCAAAATAAATCACCAGGCTTGCATCCTGCAAAGTGGAATCAGGACTTCAAAATTATTGACAGTACAGTTGGATTATAATAAACTAATTACTCAGAGAACATATCATTGAGCATCCTATTTAAAATAAAAAAAGGACGAAGGAGGGAAGGTATGTTTAAAGGCAAGACTAACTGTCATGGAAGCAATCAGAGGAAAGGAGAAGTAAATAGCTCTAGGCACACATTCGGGTAGGAACTGTTATATCGGGTCAAGGTTTCTGCCTCCTTCTCCCACCCTGCTCCAAATCCACATCAGAAGCCTGCCCTCGTGCCAGACAGCTCTGCCAGCTGCCATGGAAGCAATGAGATGCCCTTTTTCTTTCTTCTTCTTCATGCTTCTGACTTCTATAAGCGGTTGGGATGGAAGGGGCAGGTTTTGCTCTTCAAAATTAAAATCTACATCCGCTCTTTCTCTTCCTCCTTAGCCACCGTTGGGCATAGGCAGGCACAGTATGCTGCACAGGACCAGCAGTCAGGTAATATCTTCAAAGTCCCTTGCATTTCTTCCTCACATGTACACACAAATTAGTTAAAGCTGCATCTGACACACTGCTTTTGAGGATTTTATTCCTTATTCCTTTGACAATATTCTTGTCCTTTCCACTATAGGTAAGACCCCTCCAGGGAATGATGAAATTCATGGTGAAGCCAATGAGAAGTCAGTCTTTTAATTCAAGAACAACCTACAAGGCCATTCAGTCTTGGACTACAGCTGGAGTTCCTCTTGCACAAGGCAATTCCTAAATTTACATAACCATATTAGTCTACATCGCGGTGGATAGAAGTTGAGAGTGAGAAAAGCCATAACCAAAACTCATTGCATCCTGTCTTCTGGGAGGCGGGCCAGGGCTGGCATTACACTTTCAGTAATTCTGTGGTTGCATATAATCTAAGTAGGCCCACCTAACAGCTACATCTACACTGCAACCAAGAAGCAGGAGGGAATACTCTAGCACAGGTGAGATATATTGCAAACACTGCGTATCACAAGCGGTTATATTAGCAGCCATGATTTCAGCCTGGACTAACTATCCAAATAGATTACCAGCATACCTGTACAGCCCACACTGAAGGCTCTGCTACTCCATTTCATTGCTTTTGTGTTATAACCACACCTGCCAATCATATTGCTGACACATGTCAAAGACTGAGCAGATCAACAAAACTTTCTCACAGATGGCTGGGCATGCCCTGAGTTCCAGGCCACCTGCCTCGGCATGCTGCAAGATCAAATTTTCAAACAGCTGAAATAGCACAGGACCAAAAAGGCAATCTACACAGATCTAATCCTGCTACTAGTGCAAATTTTGCTACTCAGTCTAACTGGAACCAGCTCTGGCCTTAATCAATCAAATCTCCTACTGAAGGACAGTTGAGTTATGGTTAAAGTCTGCAAAAAAAAACTGTAGTGTGATGATCAGTTACTGTGAATTTTCAGCAATATTTTTCCATTACTTTTTGACTTGCATAACTAATCAGCTGCTAATGAAGTTAAGCCACTGACTGATCAGTTAAAACACGTGCCAATTACCAAAAAGAATTGTGCAGTCACATCAAAAGAGTTCCTCCTCCAGAAAAATAATTTTTTAAAACCTTTTACAAGACTAAACAATGACTGTGACTTACCAGAAAAGTCACACACACGCTGAGAATTTCCTGTATCATAGCTTCCCCCACACTTAACCACCCTCTTTTCTTTTAGGATATATGGCATATTTGGATCCACCTTGCCTGGGTTATCTGACATCGTAGCAGTCGCTCAAGCAGTCAATCAATAGTTGCTTCTACAGTTCTAAAGATGGATTCTGTAAAGACTTTCTAAACTGTCTGTCATTAGAAAATTTCCTTTTTATTACTTACTAACTGAAAATAAATTTTAAAAAAATCAGAACTTTCCAAACAGAATAAGGGCCTGATACAACAAGCTAAGTTTATACATTAAGAGGTCAGAAGAAAACTACACGGAAAGATACAAGTCCTTAAAAAGTTAACCTAGTGGGTGAATAAAGTGGCCCTTGCTTATATGATATTAGGTGCTTTGTGAGACGAGCCTCCCCAAAACTAGCCTTTGAACAGGCACAAGTCTGTGAGTAACTGAGAGGAAAGGAGTGGGTACAAGGCTGGATCCTCTCTTGGTCTGTGACAGGCAAGTGAAGGCTTTCCTATACCACCTGCTACCTCCATCCCCCTTACTGCAGCTGCCTAGTATGTGTTGAAGGGGTGGGAACTTGCCAGCGCAGTCTTGAGCAAGCTACCGAAGGACCAGCACTGGAATTTTGCAAAGAAAATTATCAGATCTATTTGGGTCTGGTAGAAGGAGCAAAAAAAACGGGTCTCAAGTCTTCCTTCTGTAAAACACAATGGAGAACTCCCAGCTCTGAAAGGGAGCTCCTGGTGACAGAAAATGAGCAGCAGACGGGTTCCGGAAGAGGTCATTAGGTTGGGAGAAAGTCTGACAGTCTTCCACATAGCCTCTGTAGTAGAGAGCCTGCCGAATATAGCCCCACAGGGAACAGGCTAGGATATGGAAGTCTGCAGAGGGATTCGCCTGTGGAGCGCAATGTTACACTGCAGTGGTCTGCAAACTTTTTAAACCAATAATACCGCTTCCAAACCTTCACGCTTCTTATGTGCCCACAATTGCATCAAATTAAATCAAAAACTCTACATCCTTGCAGATGATTTTTAAGGCTTAAGATCATTCTGCTCTTCTCAGCTGTAACGGCCCATGATGGCTTTGCAGATCACACTTTGGGAAACACAGGTCCCCGCTCCAGAGAGCTTGTTACACGTTAATTTCCCAGGGATGAGGGCATGGGAAATTCAAAAGATGCTGACTTGATGTTATTCTAAGAAATTAAGCCAAAACCTTAAAAGAAAGAAGTCATTTTCTTCTTGCCAAAGATGGAAAGGAACAACAACTTAATGTTTGATCCATGACACTTCTTTTCCCCAGTTGAAAAACCATGCAGAGGTGCCCCAGAGGACTACTCCTGTTTGCTCCTTTTCTCTGGAAAAGGCTTGGGAAAAAGGAGAGAGGTTTTTACATACCCTTCTGATCACTATACGTAATAGGGAACGACTATGACTTTAGGGGCTTCTGACCATGAGCTGGGAAAATAATCCTTCCCTTCCCCTCCCATTATCAGATTGCCAAGAGGAACTGCAAGTAACTGCACTCATCCTGGATACCATCCCAAAGGCCGGGTAACCACTAAATTAATGAGAGAAAATATATGCAAAAACACACAGGCATTCTTGTCTGTGATGACTACCAATGAGAGCTCTGTCATGGGGTTTTACTTAGTACTTCATAGGGGACAGCAGCCGAACATTCCCATCCAGGTTTACGATATAAAACCACACAAGTCTATCATGTAGTCTTCTCAGAGGTGGATCCGAATTTTCACAGTGGGTGTTAACCAAGCCACAGGAGGCTGAATTAAGGACTGAGTTTTGATCTCAGGGCACAAAGCAAGGAGCTCCCCTATATATTCTTCCTCTGACCAATACACAGGACTCTCACTGAAATCTACCCAGAAAAGACCCACAAGCCCATCAAACTCAATTCCTAGTCACAGATGTCAATCTTTTCTTGACAGAGGATATAGATTGAAAAATAAATCGGATGCATTTTCTAGAGATGTTCTCTGCTGACTTTTGACAAAATTTTGCCCAGAATTTGTCAATTCAATTAGACCCTAAAGGCTCTTTAAAATAAATAAATAAATAAAACACTTTACCCTAATACTAAATACGACTTATTACCAGCTGTGTAAATCAGTATATAACAGTTAAAGTTAGCAGAGATGCACGCATACAGGTCAGCAGAGGCTCAAACCAATGTGGGAACATTTCAGATCATGTAACTTGATAAAAGTTTCTAGTTGCACATAAAAGCTAATAGGCAAAAAAAAATTTTTTTTAAATATTTTCCTTTCTGAATTTGATCTTTCTCAATTTACACTAGTAGCAAAGGGATCGCGTATCTTCTGGAAACCTTCTGCTTTCTTCCTACATTACCTCTTTTACATTCAGTATTTTCACGTACATTGTCACCTTCACTCCTCAGTTTCCAAAATGGCTGGATATAAAACCAGGATCCCTCATTCCCTGCAGCATCCAGAGACACCCGCATAGCATTCTTCTCTAGCAGAGCCGGCAATCTCTTATTGACCGTGAGGTATTTGTTACTTTTTATATGTAGCAACTGTGAACAAATAGTAATGAAAATATTAGGATTGATTTTTTAATCTTCAGTCAAAGAGGAAGCATGGTCTTCCACTCTATAGTGATTTTTTCATAACATACATAAGCAAAGACTAAATAAAACTAAAAGAGAGATATTAATGTATATCGCAGTTTAGGAAAACAAATGCTATATCTCAGATGCAGAGGAAAATATCACTGATCAATTTTACAGAATATACTATACGGGTGGGGCGAGGGTCAATAATAGTGCTGCCTTCAAGAACTTCATTTCCATTACAGGAAAGTCATACTGTACTTGAGGACGTAACTTCTCTCTCATTTATATGTCGTGAAGCACAAATGACTGCAGTGATTTAGAAGGAACTGCACAGCACCTCTACAATAATGATTTTGAAATAAATCTTGAAAATAAAAGACATATTTACATTCAGATTCTAGACTGGCAGCAACAAAAACTACATATAAAATTTATATTATGACATATTATTTAAACATGAATATGCAGTACTTCTGGTAGTCTTTAAAAGAGACAGAAAAACACAATATTGTAAACTTTACCAAGTTCTGTTTATCTGACCCTTGACAATCCAGATTACAGTGGTTAGTTTCATTTTCACCATAACCTTGACATGAAACAACTGCTTCCTTTTCAGCCCTGAGAGAAGACAGATGTATTTCAATGGGTTTACCTGTATGACGTTGCTATATTTGACAATTTCACCCAACAGCTTTCTGTTCTCACTTTCATTCTGCTTTTGCTCCAGTTCTGCTGCATGCTGCAAAAGAATGATTATTTCTTTAAATACTACAAAATGAATAGCTGGATTCAGCTACTGGAACAGACAACATATAAAGGAAATGGTACCACATTAAAAATGCCTTCTTCAATCTGCAAGCATTACTGTACTGAAAATATAAACCATTTAGCACCCATCTCTTGCTGCAATGTGCTTTCTCTACTATAATCACCCGGATCCAGTATAACCACTCAGGTTTTTTTTTACCCGCAACAGAAACTCCATCACAATTTATGGATCACACACAAGATGCATGCTATCACACTCACCAGGTAAAGTAATTCTAGGTGCTTTATTTCACCTCAAAGAGGGGAAAAGAAGGGTCTATGATTAGCTTCATTCTTTCAATACTCTTTTTATTTGTTAGTTTTCTAATTACATAAAAAGATATGGATTTTACATATAACAAAACAAATCCAACTAGTCACATGTTGCGAGACCAAGGCTAGGCACAATCGTCAGGGTCAAATACAGCCACGGAACCAACCCTCAGCTCCTAGCTCTAACCACTCTATCACCAGCTATAGCCACAGAGCATGTGGCTCACAACAGCCTCTCTATTGCGCATGAAACCATGTTTCAGATGACCATGCTTCACTTGGTGTTAAGCATCCCATTATAACATCAGGCCAGCTCGTTTTCAGCGACAGAAGTGTTGCTCACTCCACATGCCTTGCACAAAATAGAACTTGCCCAAACTGCTCAGGGAAGAATCACCTAGGCTGAAGGTAAAGAAAATTGCCATCCTGAGGAACTTCCAGATTAAAATGCGGAAAATACTTCTTTGCCCATGCCTCTGCGCAACTCCTCGAAAGGAATTCTAAAATAATTACATGATTTAAATCAGGGCCACTCCTGCTTTTATTAACTCTATTTTTACTTTATAAGCAAATATTACTGCTTTCAGAAGTTTTATAGCACAAAGGCACAACCCCCTAGCCCAAAGAGCTTACAACCGAAAGTGAGAAAAAAAAGCAGAGTAGGGACAATAAATGCCAGTCGAGGTAGGAGAGCTAAGAGAGAAGAATATAAGGTTGCTACAGTGGCATAATACCCCTCATGGTGGTTCCCAAGGCACTTGTTACTGTTCTTTCTCATTCTATTGTTATTCTACAGCCTGCAGATTAAGATAAGATTACAAGTACAGATGTCTCTTACTTGAAGTTTCTTCAGCAGTGCTGCTTCGGTATGGTTTCCTTGTTTGGCTTGTTTGGCTTTCCAGTATTGCTTCTGGGCTGAATATCGGTTCATAGGACACACCTTGAAAAGGCAGTCTGTAGAAGATTGAAAGAAATACCCATAAGTAATGTCAAAAGATATTTCCTTTATTTGTAAGTATGCTTTAGTTGTTTTTCTTCTTCCAGAAATGCCTCGATGCCACAGTGTTCAGATACAGTCAGAAAACAGTTTGACGTAACAATACCAGAAACGGGAACAGAATATCTGAGGCGATCATAAATCCTTCAGTGCCTCACACACTCCCACTCCGAGCAACCTCTCTGCAATCCCTGCAAGAAGTCTAGGCCATGAGCTTGCAAGAGGCAAAACCATATATTTTTTTATTAGTACTCTTTGCTGCAGCACACCTTTACAGATGCATTGTTTGAAAGTATGTGACTTCTGAAACCCTGAAAAAAAGTCTCCTAGTTTCTGTATTTCACACATCTGGCTACCCTGCTCCTTCTGGCAGGGCTAAAACAAAGGATTATATGGACATTCAGCTGCAAGCTATCAAGAATGTTAACATACTGTTCTGTTCTACATGTGCCTTCCCTAAGATTGATTCAAAAAACCTAACAGTATAAACAATAAAGTTAAAAAATGGAACTGCACCTTTGCTTTCCCAACATCTAACTGATTACAGCTGAGAGTTGTTCATAACTCTTGGCTACCTCACAGAAGCAGGGTCACTTCCAAGGTTTTAAGCTACTCTTCACAAAACAGTCTTGCCACCACTCTGCCATGGCATAGATGGCAATTTTCACTGGCTGAGGCAACTGTACACTCCTGCAAACCCTGCTTCTGCACCACCTGAGAGTGGAAGTCATCCTTCCAGAACCCACTCATCCAAATACAGCTGCCACACAGCCATCTGCCACTTCTGTCACTGCTACCCCATAGGGTTTTTTGCATTTGCTACAGGCATTTTAAAGTTATTGCTCACTTTTGTTTGATTTCCCGTCAGAATACTCATTTTCAAAGGAAAACTAAGTAGAATATCTGAAGCATATACTCCCACATTGGCCGTCATCACAACTCAACAGTAAGAGCTAACACTCGTCCAAACAAGAATATACTCCCCCGGCATTCGTGTCAGTGAGGTTCCACTGTGACTTACTGGCTTTAATAGTACTCATCTTCACCCCACATTTGGTAAACAAAAAAGGCATATAAATAGAAGACAGAAAGACAGACAGACAGATTGAGGTCACACAGGAAGTCTGTGATGGCACAGAAACTTCACCACTGATCTGAACGTTTCCCAAATTAGCACCTCAGCTACTGGCCCACCTTTCCTTCCAACCGGAACATGACACCCCCAAGCACAGCGCACACCTTACTAGCAGTACAATTTCAGGCTGTGTTAAAGCGTGAGAACCCAGAGGTTCAGGCAGTGCAAACAGAAGTAACCCGTGTCCACAGGCAGTCCGCTACCAGATAGACCAGGCAGAAAAAGGGTAGGAGAGAGGGAATATCATCAGTTTCATTTCACATGTTGTAAATAGAGACGGCTCAGAAACCTAAACGATTCATCCAAGTCTAACTTATTTTAGAATGATAAAAAGATAGAGTCACGCATGCTCTTGATCATCAACTGTTCTAAAAGCTAGATTTGAAAGATATTTTAGCTAGCAAATACTGATAATTGCCCTTTCACGCTCTACACGTATCAGCCAGCAAGAGGAAAGGAAGGGAAGTATGAATTGTCTATCAGATTTTTGCTGTGAGATTAATAAGAAAGTATAGGACTGCACGTGTATTACAGTGTGAAACTCTTCTCTGCCACGGGCTGGGATTACAGATGTTAAATGAAGACAGGTCCCAAATTATTAGCCCACCATATCCAACTGTCATGGAGAGCCAAGCACTCTCTGAGGATTAATCCACGCACGGAAGAAAAAGACCTCTGAGGATTCTCCTCTCTTCTCCATGTGTGGGTCTCATGAAGGTAGAGACTGAAGCAAGCAACTACACCTACCTGACTTGTAGCCACCTAACCATGGCACAAGTTAGAGCCAGGTAGGAGTGGCAACATACGCTATTTATAGGAGGTTTCACTCCAGGGCAAGATTAGAAATAACAAAGTTCCTCTGCTGGTCCCACAAGCACCTCTTGCAGCCTCGTACATCCCAGACTGAACGGAAGCAGCAAAGTCACTTCTGCCAATGGTCATCAGACAGTTCTCTTGTACAGAAGAGACTCTGCCAGACCCTTTGAAGGCCACTCTGCACGGAATACAACACAGAAATTGCTCCTTACAAAAATACATAAAAGAGGAGACTAGACATGCTCTAGCTCCATGTAAGTAGCATTAAGTGCTTATTTACCACTGCACTTAACACAATTAATGGCATGCAATCACACATCACAAAATAATTTTAAAACAGCCTTCCCTACCTTCAGCTCTCCTGCTACCTTCTCAGAAGAGATTCTCTTTCCAGCAACATTGTACAGTCACCCTTACCTCTATTATCAACAGTGCTGCAATATGAAATAGCAACCACAACGTCCACGCTAACTGTATGTTCCAGGTTCACACTGCATAATTGTCTAAATGCCCTTTTTGTATTTACAAAGCTTGCCTGCCATTTTTTAGATACAGTAGAAACCAGTCACAAACAAGTCACTGACTAGTAGACTAGTAGAATCTAGTCACAGTAACATAGAAGTCAGCAGGGGAAGCTACGGCAACGACACCAAAGTCATGGTGTAGGTTTTTAACCACTGAGTCAGGTCAGCAGCAGTTTTTATTTTGCAATGCTATCTACTCACTATCTACTTCCTGGATCAACTTCACATCTACAGTTGCTAACCAGGGCTAGTTCTGGCCCTCCAGTCCAGCATATGTGTAAAAGTCCCATATATCATACACATGACAAGAAATATTTCTTAACTCTCCATTCTACCCTTGTGAGTGGAAATTCAAGTGTCCAATTCATAACCTCTCCGTGGGAGATGATAGATACCTAGGCAGATCCTATTCTCATTTGCAACGCTATTAAGCGTTCAAGGGAGTTCCTCCTTCATGCAAGGAGGAAGGAGAAGAGATTCAGCTACACATACCCATCCCATCCCAGCCCACAAGTAATTACTAAAGCTTTATCACAGTGAACACCTCTCGCAACACAAACAGAAGGAAGGGAAATCTAGTGTGAAGACTGGCCTTACCCTTCCTAAATACATACAATGAACTCTCATTTCTTTATTTAACAAAATAAAACAGGTAGCACACTTGACTATCATCAGGCCCAACTAAGTGCAGTTATCTAACATTAGTGCTGCCAAAACCACTCTTAAGATTGTGCCACACGGTCCTCCCAGGACCTGCCTCCCCCAGAGCTAACAGCTTGCCACAGTGTTAGCTCTCAAGCCACAGACTAAGCTGCAAGACTTTTAGCTCTGCAAATTTGCCATTTGATCTCTCATACATTGGCCAAAATGGCATCTATCACATATCATCCCATCAAGCGTTCCACTGCGTTGCCTCCTCCCCTCACAACAACCGATCTTCCTCCAATATCTGTAGGAACAAAATCTGTTCATACAGAAATCATCAGTGGTAGAGCTTCCCCTGGCACTCACCCAAACGCCTCCCTGGTTTGCTCCCCCAACACAGCCCCAAGCTGATGTTCCTATGAGAACGTGTTACAAAGCATTAGCAAAGCAAACTCAGCCACCTTGCAGACCTATTTACCTTCATTTCAAAGGGGGAACATTTACAATGAGACTATATTGCACAAACTACAGTACATGGTATCTCTCTGGGTAACTTTTACAATGCTCTGATTGGAAACTCAGAAGGGAAAAGAAAAGTTACAAAACACTGTGTGCTATTAAATCAAAGTGCAAGTTGAAGAAGGCTTTAGCTTGAGCATCAGGATTTCAGCTCATAAGACAAAAGCCAACTATTATTTTCTGTGACCATCTATAATTATTAAATCTGCATTCCCAGTACACTTCATGAAACATTTAGTTCTCTGAAGTAACAATGCCTTCTTTTTATAGGATCAGCTTTCATTTCTCTGTTACTCCCCACATATCCTGCTACTTGAGTAAACACACTGATTCCCATCTTGATGCAGAGTCTTCAAGCACGGCACTACCACAGAGCACAGAAATGCAAGACATACATGAACGTGCAATCACAACTGTTTACTTATGCCTCCTAAAAATGAACAAATTTTTCCTACTGATACTTCTCAAAGAAAAGGAAGTGTCAAATAGGAGGTGCTAGATATCCTTGGCCACACAGCTAGATCTGTAGCCGTGATGCACAACAAACAGCTCTCCCAAGTCCCAGTCTAGTTCCTTAAAAGTTGAAATACCAAGGACTTTTTTTTAAAAAAGAGTATTATTTAAATTGTATTTTCCCCTTCTGTCAATTTCTAGAAGAAAAAACTCACATTCTTTGTTTCTAGAGAAGCTTTTTCTCTACTTGTTTTTAGATTCTAAATACAACAAAAATACCTCATCTGTTTTTTGTTTTTTGTTTTTTTCTTGGCATTTCTATTTACTTTTATTCTAGTAACATTAAGATACTCCGGAAATTCAAACATCGTGATCCTAAGCATCAGGAAAAAAAGCAGTCTCCACCCTATAGAAGCTATAGTTTAAATAAACAGGGGAAAAAAGGAAACTGAGGCACAAGATCATAAACGAACTTGCCAGTACATGTAGCAGATCAAAAGTTCAGCCCTCCAGGAAGTCAGGCTGGTAACCCATTCATGAGACAGACTGTCTCCTCTAACTTCTCCAGGCAATCTCTGAGCGCTCTCGTTCCTAACTCATTACTTAATGAAGTTTTAAATAAATGCTTCCCTTCCTTAAAACGCTAATTAAGTAGGTAGTATCAAAAGTAAAATAAACTGCTTTAAAAATACCAGCTGGTTTCAGTTACTCAACTTTCATGCATTTAACTTCTGCAGCTTCACCAATTCTCTCATCCTCCCAGAGTCTTCCTGGCAGAATTTGAATCTCTCATGCACAAAGTGAAGATGAAGTACATTTGAAACACCTCCCTCCCCTATCAACACTTTTAAAAGTCTAAAAATCA